TTGTTTATTTTAAAATATTTATACCTGGTGTATCCCTGACAGGGTTCTTTGTGTAGATATAGTAATATCCAACCAAGTAGTAGAAATAAAATGACAATTCTTCCAGCCAGAGAAATACTAATGTCGCATTGCTCCAGCACGGCTGCAGTCACATGAGCTGTTTGATCCGATATAGTTGCTGTTCTGTTCTGGATTTAAAGAGCACAATCAGACAGCAACATTTGCCTCCAATTTTTCAGTTGTTGCCACCCCATTCTGCCCCATCTTTGAAGCGGAGTTAATGGACACCAGGGAAAGTCCAGTCTTTACAGATGCCAGCACTTTCACACCCACCATTTCTGGCTGTCTGAACTCCCGTGTTGCGAAGTCAAGCCGTTTGGGAAGTCTGAACCTTCCCTTCCATTTCCGCCTCCTTTTTTTTTTTTTTTACCAAGTAGCGATGTGTGCATAATAGCCCCTGGCGTTGTCAATCACCACTCCTATGTCCAAGTGGCCATGTAATCATTCTGGATTAGAGCCCCTAGGGCTCTAATCCCCCCCTCTCCTGTTTCTGCATCAGAGTTGCTGTTTGAGAGCATCCTATGATTGACACAAGAGTAAATGTAATGATGTCAATGGGACTACCCTCATTTAAAGCTGCACTTTAACCCCCCACCACCACATATTCCAAGGAAGAGAGGCAAAGGAAAGGAGGCTGAGATGGGCCAGAGTACTTGGCAGAGGGATTGTGAAGCTGTCAAAAAGGAGCTGGAGCTTCACATAAACACTTATGAGCATGGGTGAAAGACCAAAAAAGGGTGCCGCAGCAATCTGAACCATCGACCATGGGGCCAGTGCACAGTGTAGTCAGTTCAGGATGGGATCAAAACTTCCCTTTGCAAAATAAAACAGTGTAATTAGAGGTGTGGCCAGATCGCACCAAGCCTGTAGTGTGACTGCAGCCCAGGAGATACAAATTCATAATGTACCAGCACTAAGATAGTAGCTTCCAAACTGATTAAAACTGGTAACTGCAAAATTATGGCTGGCTGTCCAGTCCTCCCACCCCCCGGCCAAAAACAAGGCTTGTTGCTGGTATCCCACAGTTTTGAAATGTTTACTGTGTGAAATACTAAAACTGTGATGCTGGTTCGAAAGAATTTCAAGTACTGTTCCAGCTCTTATTGGAAGGTATCCAGTAGAACTCTGAACCAACAGTTTTAAATATATATATATATATAATCATTTTGGTAGGATTAAGCAACATACTGGGGTTTTTCATTCCAGGTATACATTGCAAATATTTGAGTGATGTGTAATTTGTACATGGCTAGAGGCCATGGAAATAACTGACCCTTATTTACATAAGAACATAAGAGAAGCCAATGTTGGATCAGGCCAATGGCCCATCCAGTCCAACACTCCGTCACACAGTGGCCAAAGATACCAGGTGCCATCAGGAGGTCCACCAGTGGGGCCAGGACACTGGAAGACCTCCCACTGTCCCCCCCCCCCCAAAGCACCAAGAAGACAGAGCATCACTGGCCCCAGACTGAGAGTTCCTCTCTGTGCCTTTTGGCTAAGAGCCACTGATGGACTTCTGCTTCTGGCTAGAGCTGCCGGGGACTGATCTTGGGTCCTTCACTACCCAAAGGAGTCTCAGAGCGACTCACAAACTCCTTTCCCTCCCCCTCCCCACAACAGACAGACACCCCTGTGAGGTAGGTGGGGCCGAGAGAGCCCGCACAAAAGGAAGCCCCCCCCCCCCCCCCCCACTGCCTGGGTATCAGGAGGTGCCCCCAACTGGCTGACCGGCCAGCCAGCAGCCCCAGACACGTGGGGCCTGCTTTGAGACACACTCCGGCAGATCAGCTGCCCAGAGGAACACCGCCTCTCTCCCCTAAAGCAATGCTGGTGCGGGGGGGGGGCCGCGAGGGGCTCAGAGCTGCCATGTCCCTCTTTAAGCCCCCCCCACACACACACACGTGTGTCTCACAGTGCAGACCAGAGGCCCACCTGCCTGGCACCAGGCTCCTGCCACACACCGGGCATGGTCATCCTCATGTCTGTGAGGAGTCTCCCGTTTTCTTTCTGATCGGCAGCATTTCCAGCCGATTCTGTCTGACATGGCCCACGAAAAGAACCACCACCACCACCACCCAGTCCGTCCTGAAAGGGAAACCAGGACAGAAACGTGGGCTTTCAAATGCAGCTTAGCCTCCTTGGGAAAGGCAGGGGTGTCTTTCTGGAAGTGCAAAACTGCTGGAGCGCAACAGGAGGGCTCTGGAGCCAGGAGGAGGCCCACGCAAGGCCAGTCTGTCGAGACCCACAACGCCTGCCTGGCAGCCCCACGCCCCAGGAGGATGGTTCCAGCCACAGGAGGATGCCGCTGGCCTGTGGGACTCTCGGCTCCAGGACGGAAAAAGAAGAGATTGGATTTATACCCCATGGCCCTTCAGTACCCGAAGGTAAGGAGTCTCAGAGCGGCTGACAAACTCCTTTCCCTCCCCCTCCACACAACAGACACCCTCTGAGGCAGGCGGGGCTGAGAGAGCTCTTTCGAGGACTGCTCCTGAGAGAACAGCTCTGAGGGGACTTGTGACTGACCCAAGGTCACACCAGCCAGGTGCAAGCGGAGGAGTGGGGAATCAAACCCGGTTCTCCCAGATTAGAGGCCGTGCCCTTCACCACGGCACCAAACAAGGCACTCGGAGCAGCTTGGGGAAGCGAGACCTTGTGGAGACAAAGAGGACAGAAGCTGGATGGAAGACGACTTCCCCACGGCCACCCCTTTGGGGCTGAGGAGGACGCCGCATGCACGGGGCTCAGGCACCTTCTCCACGAGAGAGAGTCCTGCTGGCAGATGGCCCCCTGGGGACGCTGAAGCAGGTGGGAAGGCCGCAGGGCAGAAGCCTTTCAGAGCAACAAGAGTCAAAGCGCCGCCTCCAGCCACCAGTCCCGCCTCCCCCTTCCCGCTGCAGTTAAGGTGAAGCTGCACTGCTGCCCCAGCGGCCTCTCGGCAAGAGCCACTCCCAGGCGTGAGTCAGCGCCGGCTGCACCACATCTCCCCCCCCCCCCCAATGCTCTGAGCAGCCAGAAATAACCTTCTGCGGCCTTCTGGGGAACGGAGGGGAGGGGAGGCCTTGTTCTCAATCGCCCCACCATCCCAGGGCAGGACGAGACACTGGGGGGGGGGGGGGAGGGGGGGCTGACCCACAGGGCGCAAGAACAGCCTCGGTCACCCGAAGGACAGGGGCACACTCCCCTCCCTCCGTGGCTGCCTGGCTGGCTCCTCTGAGCAACAAGGGATAGATAGGGGCTCTGGGGCAAGGGATGCTCTTGTCTTCTTGGTGCTTGGGGTGGGGCAAGTGTGGGAGGGGCGTCTGGTGTCCTGGCCCCACTGGTGGACCTCCTGAGGGCCCCTGGTCTTTTTGGCCACCGTGTGACATAGAGTGTTGGACTGGATGGGCCCTTGGCCTGCTCCAACAGGGGCTTCTCATATGTTCTTATGTCTGGGGCAAGGACTGGAGGGGCCACTGGCCTGATCCAACATTGGCTTCTCTCTTATGTTCTTATAGGAACTCTCAGTCTGGGGCAAGGGATGCTCTGTATTCCTGGTGCTGGGGGGGGTGGGAA